TGCACATTTTAACTAAATGATTCCTCCACCGCCGCCGTCGCCTCTTCCCCCCGGGCCTCCGACGCCCCTCCCGTCGCTCGCCGACGTGTGGGACGAGGACGCTTCGCCGTCGCCGTCCCCCGACGCCTCCCGCCAGCCCGGCCCGTCGCTAAGGGAGAAAGCGCGAGCCGCGGCCGCAGCAGTCGCCGCCGCAGCAGCGGCAGCGGGCAGAGACGGCACGAATGGCGCCACAACCCGCGGGTTTCTCCCGCAGATCGCGGAGCGGCCGGAATTGCCGTACGCGAACGGCCCGAGAGGGCGCTTGGAGGACGAGACGGGCGCGGCGGGCAGCAAGCTGCAGTCGCGCGAGGTGAAGCGGCGGCTGCGGCCGCTGAGCATCGACTTCGACCAGCAGGACGACGACCACCGCGCCGGCAACAAGGCCGGCAAGGGTTCCGCCGCCGCTGCCGCAGGAACGGGACCGATGGGGAATGGCGTGGCGTCGGCGGGAGCGGACGAGGAGAACGATGACATCGAGATGCTGCTGTCGCCGGGCGTCCTCGTCTCCGCGCGCATCCCGCACTTCCCCCCGGTCGCGCGGCCCTCCCCGCGCCACCGGCTATTCCCGCACGGTCTGTCGGGCGCGGGGAGCGCGTTTTCCGCGGACAACATTCGCGCGTGCTGCGAGCGGATGTGGGCATCCGTGACGCCGCCCAGCCTGCCCGGGAAGCTCGCCGTGGGTCCCGCGGTGCTGATGGGCGCGCTGCTGCTCATCGTGCTCGCGCTGCTCGCCGCCACCATCGCCGTCTTTTCCCGCGGGGGCGGCGGGGACGGCGGGGACGGCACGGGCGTGGCGGCGTGGGAGCAGCACGTGGTGCGCGTGAACGAGGTGCAGACGCTGGGCAGCCGGTACAGCTACCACGCGGCGCCCGAGCCGGACGTGATGCAGTGGATGCAGGAGGCGGGGCTGTCCACCATGATCGCGTCGTCCAACTTCTCGCACAGCCCCATCAACGACCAGCTGCGCGCCGGCTACCGTTTCATTCAACTCGACGTGAGTCGCGCCGCGCGCATGCGGGGGGGAGGTAGCGGTTGCGGGGGGACTAGCGCACGTACGTGCTGCGCTGCAATTCCGTGCGCCGCGCGTATGCGCAGGATGCGGCACGCGCGCGCGGGGCTAGCGGTGCTGTGTGGTGACGTACGACGAACGCACGCACCGCCATACACGGGGGCATGCCGACCATTCGGGTCCGCATGTTCGAATGGATGTCGCGTCACGCTCTCCCTTCCACCCCTGTTCCTCATGCGCTCGTCGTGCGTCCACCGCGCTCATCGCCTCCGTCACGCCTTGCCATTTTGCCACGTCCCGCCGAGTCCCTCACCCAGCATTCCTCAACTCCCCTCCCCTCCTCTCCCCACTCCCCCGCCCCGTCCCGCCCCGCCCCGCCCCGCCCCGCCCCGCCCCTTCCCCTCCCCTCCCCCCCTGGCGTGCGCAGGTGTTCTACGACCCGGCGGGAGGGCGGTACTTCGACCGCAAGGTGTACGAGCAGCTGGGCCGCCCCACCGCCTCCATGCGCCCAGAGCTGCAGGCGCCGGGCTTCAAGGTGCTCTCCCTCCCCCCCCAATGCCCCCAGCCCTCTTCCCAAGCATCCCCTCCCCCTCGCGCCTAAAAAATCCTAGCCGTGAGAGGAGTGGCAAAGCAAAGCGCGCCAGCTATGCCATGAACGCACGTGAATGCAGCAGGGTACGGACAAGCTGAGAGAGGCACGCAGCACGGGAAGCAACAATGAACTTAGAGCAGCAACAATGCAGTACGGCTCACCACAACCATAACTGTCATTGCTGCTCAACTGTACCCTCTCCCCACGCTTTCCTCCTGCTTCCCTCTCCTTCTCTCCACCGCTCACCCACCTCACCTGACCTAGCGCTCTCTCTCTCTCTCTGCCTAGCTCACCCATTCAGGTCCTCATGCATGCGCCACTCCCCCCGCCCCCTCCCTTGCCTCAACCCACATCTTCCCCCCCCAACACCCCCCTCCTCCTCCCCCCATCTCCTCTCCCCCCTCCTCTCGTGGTGCAGGTGCTGCGGGTACCGGACGTGGACTTTGGGTCGACGTGTCTGACGCTGCGCGACTGCCTGCTGCACGTGATGGAGTTCAGCGACGCCTCGCCCCGCCACGTGCCCATCGCCATCGAAATCGACTTTGGAGACGCCTCCGCCTTCATCCGACCCCTCAACACGCTCCTCACTTCGCCTCTGCCCATCGACGAACAGGTATGTGCTCTCAGCGGGTTCCCCGTGTGAAGAACAGGCGTAACATTGATAAGGCAATTGAGCTCCAACACGATGCATACTGTTTTTTCCAACGGCAGGCATTTGCATGTTAAAGGCAGGCTGTCATGTTAATCACCGGGGAAAACATAAAAGGACTTCATTACAAAAATAGGGAACCATTTTCCACAAATGTACTAGAAAAAGAAACACCGTCAGCCTCCACCTGAACGGGGTGGGCGTGCGCAAAAGGGGGTGCGACGGATTGGAATTTGGAGTGTGGATTTGCTCTAGGACTCACCTGGTGACGTACCCAGGAAGATTGTGTGACCGCAACGGTGGGACATAGAGTAAGAGGGAAGAGTGGGTGGGCCATGTGAATGTCTGGAGAAGTTTGGAGATGGTTGTGATGCGAGTGGAGGGAAGGGAGGATTGGGGGAGGAGGGTTATGGTCGTGCATGTTATGCAAAGCATTGTTGGGACATTGGGTAGTGTCGTGTGTATGTTTGGCGAGCAGTACAGGAAGGCATTGTCGCTGTTGCGCTGTGTGTGTGTGGTGCTTGCTGGTGGGCACGGGGATACAGTAAGGCTCACAAGCACAGATGGCTAACAGTTGCTTGCCACACTTGACCAGGGAATGCATTGCAGCTCACTGCTGCTCTGTGCAAGCACATGCCAGTATGGCCGGTTGTTCGTGCTGCTTAGAGTAGAGTCCGTGAGGCGAGGGGGAAACTTGTGGCTTGAGCCGTGTTGGGACGTGTGGGAGGCGGAATAGGCCGGAACCGAACCAAGGATGCAGCATTTGCCTGATGCTTAACCGATTGCCCCTCACTCAAGCGAGAGCAAGCACAAGAGGGCAAGGTGGAACACAAGAGAGACATGTGTAAGAGACGCATCACTCGCCTTCTGCACCCACTAATTCTATCCTCCGAAAACTCACCTGACCTCTTCCACCTCTCCACTCCCCCCCTGCTCCTCCCCTCCGCCCCCCCTCTTTGCCGTGCCACACCAGTGCCTTCTGGACCTGGAGGCGGAGATTCTCTCAGTGGTGCCGCGTGCGCGCATCATCACACCAGACGACGTGCGGGGCATGCACCCCACGCTCAACACCGCCGTGCGCACCGGCCTCGCCTGGCCGTCGCTCGCCTCCGCAGCCTCCCACATGCTCTTCTTCCTCTCGTCGCGCAGCGCCATCTCGGAATACCAGCGCATGGCACCCACGCTCGAGGGGCGCCTCATGTTCACCGCGCACACAGCCTCGGGCGAAGGCGACATCCCGCACTCACCGGACCAGGCGGCTCTGATCGTGGAGTCGCTGGGGACCACGGCTCGCGACCTGGTGGCGTCGGGGCACTTTGTGATCTGCCCCGTGCTGTCGCTGCGGTCGCCGCTGGCGCGGTTCATGTGGGAGCAGGCGGTGGCGGCGGGGTGCCAGGTGATCATTGTGGACGACCTTTGGAACGAGCTGCCGCAGGGGGACCCCGCCCACCAGACCAGCGCCCGAGGGGCTTCTGAGGCTGCTGCTGGGGTTGGGGAGGGGGGAGGGAAGGGGGGCCAGGGGGAAGGAGAGGGGGAGGAGGTGGAGGTGGCGCAGCTGGTGAAGGCGGGGACGGGCGTGCAGGCGCGGTGTATTAAGAAGCTCAACCCCAGCGCGTGTGAGTCCGCTCCCTGGGACCACATTGCAGAGCCGCTGCCCGGGGCGTGAAGACAGAGAGAGACGAGACTGGGTGCTGCTGCTGCGGTATGGAGGACAGGTGTGTGGATGGTGGAGCGGTGAAGGGACGAGGAGCGTGCTGGATGGTGCTGCGGTGAAGGCTGGGGTGAGATTGGCAGAGAAGGGCATTGTCGACCCCGGGAGGAGGCAGTGAGGTGGAGCGGGGAGGTGGTTGCAGTGCGGCGTGGTGGGTGCACAGGGGGCGGGGAGGACAGACTCTGCCATCCTCATGCTCAACACAACATGGGGGCCAAATGGGGAAGGCTGTGGCATAAGATGGAGATGCATAGGGCTATGGGGGAAGACAGCCGGATTTTGAACAAACTGCTGGTAGTTGAGATTAAGCGGATAGCCCTGGAGAGTTAGGGGGGCTTGTCGTTCTGTAGATGGCCCCTTCTTCCAGGCACTTATCACGTACTGTGTGCTGCTCGTCCTCAGAATGTCAAACGGGTTTTGGGTTTGCCCTGTCGGAAGTGGTAGTAATTTGTTAGGATGAAGTCAGACAGACTACATGGGTTAGTTTTACAGTTGTGGTTACTGTATTTGTACAAGGAACCACTTTGATACTGTTATGTGTCTGGCTTGTGAAAATAACTACAACTAGTCTTGTGCTCTGGCTGGTCCACAACCTCCGTCTACTCTAGTTCTCCAGATTCTGCCTGCGCTTGGACATGGTCGCTCACTAACCAATCAAATGTCATCGGTCGGATAGCAAGCATTCTCTTCACGGTCTCTGTTCCCTATTGTGGCGAATTGCCATTCCTGATGCTCTGACAGGCAAGCAAATCATCTCTCTCACTCCACCATACCGGTTATGACGCTGGAGCTGCCAGTGGGGTATGGAGAAATAAGAAGCACACATATCAATGAGTTACATGGACCAGAGTGCACATACGGTATCCGAAGCAGCGCTACCTACCCACTTCACACATTGCATCACCTCACCTCCCCATAGACGAAACAAGACAGCATATTGGTAACACATGCTTTTCCAATCCCAAACTTGCAGCACTCCGTACCAATTCCGCCATCTGATTCACCCTACTACCGGTAGGTACTCATCCTCATCATCACTAGTGTCCCCCCAGCCTCCCCTGTAGTCATCAAAGTCACTGTCCAAGCCAAGTTCATGATCAATATCCTCATCATCACTACCACTCTCCTCTTCCTCCATCTCCTCCCCGTCTGCCTCTTCCATTTCCATCGCCACATCACCTCCCTCCTCCCCCTCTTCCTCTTCAGACTCCTCTCCCTCCCCCTCCTCTCTCCTTGCAGGTACCCCTCTCGTGGCTCGCTGTGACAGCAAAGGGCACTCACGTATCGTCGGCATTTTCTGGAGACGGCGGCAGTCGAGCCAGCTTCTTGCATTCGCGCACCTCCAGGTCCTCAAGCTTAGGCAGCTGAGTGAACGAATCTGGCAAGCTTCGCACCCGCGTCAGTCCCAGGATCAGCAACTTCTTGAGGGAAGAAAGCTTCCAGATGTCATCGGGAATGGTTGAAATCCCAACCTTGACAAGAGAGCAGGATTGTAGCTTGCAAAGATTCACGAATGACTCTGGAAGCTGCGTCAGCTCGAAGCATTCAATAATATCCAGTGTCTCGAGCTTCTTCAACTGCCCGAGAGACTCGGGCAGCTGGCGCACTGAGTAGAGGTAGACCAGGTGCAGCACACGCAGCCCTGCAAGCCCCCCAAGGGTCTCGGGTAGTGCTTTCAAATCTCCGGCCGAATGAACCTTGAGCCTTTGCAGCTGCGAGAGGCGAGAGATGGAGTCAGGGAGGGAATCGAGTCTGTCCATTTCCATGAGCTTCAGCTGCGTCAAAGCAGACAGACGACCGAGGGATGGACCAAAGGTCTCAACACCGAGCTCTTTTATCTTGAGGCTCTAAATGGACGGAAGCAACGCGCGGCTGCTGCTCCTGCTGCCGGTGCTGGTCATAAAGCCTTTGGCAGTACGTCTGTGCAGCTTCTCATCCCCCAGCACTGCACGCAGCGCACCGCACGCCCGCACATCCAGCGATCGCAGACAAGGCAGCTCAAGAAGCGACGGAGGGAGGCATCTCAGAGCGTCCATCGCAAAGATCCTGACCTCCTCGAGCGCCCTCAGCCGTCCTATTTCCTCTGGCAGGACCGTCACATTAGGGCAATTGCCGACTTCCAGGGGGGTGAGGGAATGGGCGTCGTAGAAGGAAGCGGGAAGGGCGGACAGGCATGGCAGGGAGTCGAGCGACTGCTCCTTGAGGCTCTTCAAGCACCCAAAGCCGTCCAGCAGCGGGCCTCTGAAGTGTTTCACGTTTAAAATCTTAAGGGTTTCGAGAGACGTGAGGCTGGAGAAGGACGGAGGGAGGCGGGTGATAGCTGGGCAGTCTAGTAGCAGCACACGGCGCAAGGAGTGCATGCCGTTTCCCATGTCGACTGGCAGCCCCGTGAGGAGCGGGCAAATGTTGAATTCCAGGTGCTCGAGAGAAGACAGTTGGGAGAAGGAGTTTGGGAGCTGCTGCAGCTGATTACACTCCAGAAATTTCAGCTCCGGGAGAGCTTTCAACTGCCCAAATGACTCGGGCAGATGTGAAAGCAGCTGAAGGTCATTCATGAAAAGCTTCTCCAAAGAAACCAGCTGCCCGAACTCCTGAGGCAGATATGTCAGATTCCGAAGATGATGAAGCGAAAGCTCTTGAAGAGTGGTAATCAGGGCGATGGATTCGAGTAAGGCTGTGAGGTTCCTCATATCCAGCACGAGTGACCGAAGCACTGACAACTGCCCCAATTCTTCGAGCAGCACTGAGATTTCTCCCATGTCCAGGTTGAGTTCGGTGAGCGCAGGCAGGCGGGGAAGAGTCAGGGGCAGAGACGTGATATCACTGCAGCGCATGATGGTTAGAGTCTTGAGCCGCTGAAAATGATCCAGATCAGCAACCCAGTCGCGCATTCCCCTCACTTCCATCAAAGTGAGGGTTTCAAGTGCCCCCAGTTGACCGAGATTGCCGTGCGGCGGTGGAGTAATCCTGCAATGTAGAAACTCCAGGACGGAGAGAGAAGAAAGCTCGGTGAAAGAAGCTGGCAGCTGCGACGACGAGCCACTCAAGACAAATCGGTTCAGAGCGGTAAGCTGCCCGATAGACTCCGGAAGTGACGCCAAGCGGCTAAGGTGAAGCTCCAGCGACGTTAAAGATACCAGATTGCCGAAATCTGGGGGTAAAGCCTCAAGCTTGTAAGCGTTAAGCACGAGAGTTCTGAGAGACTGCAACGAGGTCAGTGTGTCGGGAAGACGCGCGACGCCTGTTACGAGATTCAGGTGCTTGAGCAAAGTAAGGCGGTCGATCGACGTGGGAATGGCAGGCGCCGAGCAACACAGGTACAGATCTTCCAGCCGCGTACACCCTTCAAACAGCACCGCGAGGCTCTCCTCTGTTACACCTCCACGACTGGAACTACGTGACATCATTTCGACACGAAGCTGGGTCAAATGGCGACACGTGCTAGCGAGGTGAGAGAAAAAAAAAATGAGAGGTGGAGGTGAGGCTGCCAAACTTAAGGTGTATCTTATTGAGGTTAGGAAACGAAGACAGAAGTTTGACGAAGCGACGCGGTTCCATTTGGAGGTTATTGCGCAAGTGGACCTGGTACTGCGTGCGGCACGCGACGCGATGCCATTGCTTGGAGACAAGCAGCTGGTCATCAGGTCAGGTCCAACTGGCCATCAGGTCGAAACAGAAAATAAAAAATCCGAGAAAGCAGCTCCTCAGGTAGCCGCTGGATCGGCGATCCGATTGGCATTGCGAAAGAAGGGAGAACTGAATCGACGAATGGCTGCTCACCCCGCTAAGTCTGGCTACTAATTGGGATAATAAACTCGATGTAGTAAAACTAGTCAAATAAGCTTTAGTGCACTCGATGTGAAAACTACTCCAAACTCTCCTTTCTACTCTAAACTTGTGCTCGTTATTCTGACATGGTATCAGAGCGGTTACGCTCCTGGCCTGTGGGCCCACCTGCTTCCGCTGCTGTCCTGCCTATCGCGCGCCTCTGGCGTGCGACGTCTTCTGCTTGCCGCACGCCCTCCGCGCGTGGCGTGGGCGCGCGGCGGTTTTCTGCCCGCCACGCGCCTTCCCGCTGCGCGCCCCGGGCGCGCGCGGCGGTTTCGTCGCCCGACGTGGCGGCCCGGGGCCCGCGCGCTGTCCCCTCCCGTCGCCCGCCGCGGCGTCCCGGGGGCCCGCGCGTCGCCCCTCCTCCCGTCGCCCGTCGAAGCGCCCCAGGGGCCTGCGCCTCGCCCCTCCCTCCTGTCGCCCGTCGAAGCGCCCCGGGGGCCCGCGCGCCGCCCTGCACGTCGCCCGCCGCGGCGCCCTGGGGGCCCGCGCGTCCCCCCCCCCCCCTCCCGTCGCCCGTCGCGGCGCCCTGGGGGGGCTGCGCGCCGCCCTTCCCGTCGCCCGTCGCAGCGCCGCAGGGACCCGTGCGCCGCGTGCGTTTAGGGTATGGGGTGGCGGGTATGGGGGTGGCGGGTGTGTGAGCCGTCCCCTGCTCCTCCTCCTCCTCCGTCTCCCACTGCTGCAGCTGCCGCTGAAGGGGGTGGGTGTGTGGGAGCCGAGGGAGTGGCACTAGGGGGGTGTCGTGGGAGTGGAGCTAGGGGTGCAGCAGGGGGTGTGTGAATGGGGTGTGGGACAGTTGGGGGAGGTTGAGCGGAGGCAGCCGTCGTGTCGTCAGCAGCGCCAGTAGTCCGGGGCCCTTGCTCCGGTAGCCCAGCGAGCCAGTCGCTGCGCCAGTCGCCCGTGGGTCCGTTGCTCCTGCCGCTCGTCTTAGCCGCGGAGCCAGTTACTCCTGTAGTCCGGGGCCCTTGCTCCGGTAGCCATCGTGCACGCCCCTCCTGTTGCCCGTGTGTCTGCGGCTTCACCCGTCGCCTCCTATTTCCACTCCTCTCACAGTCCCTCCTCCTCCTCACCTGCCCTCTATGACTGCCTGTAGCTTTGCTTGTACTTGTGAACCTCCTCTATGACTGCTTGCTGTGCTGATTATACCCCACTTTGACTATGGGGGTGTGTCAGAATATGATATTTGTCTAGCCTGTAGTGGGGTCCTCTATAGCGAGTATAGCCCAGATTAGGGTTTCCTATATGTACTCACTGCCTGCTAGTGCAAACTCTCTTTTCTGTTCTAAACTTCTGCTCGTTATTCTGATATTGGCGTGGTCTCCTTTAACCATTTTATCTCCGTGTTTCCCCCTCGCCAACTCCTCTGCTGGACGGAGAGTCTGGCGAGACCTTGTCCGTGCCATCCCCAAACCCTGGTGGTCAGCCCTTCGCTCCCCTCCTCCCCCCTCAGCAACTCTCGGGGAGTGGTTCGTCCCCAAAGACGATGCTGATTCCTCCCCCACTCTTGCTCTCCAAGTCACGGCCTTCTCTCCCCCGTCATCGCTCTCAGCCTCTCTTCACCGTGTCCTTCCCAATTGGTTCATCGTCCGCTCGTCGTTCGGAGATGGCACCTTCAACATAGGTGACCTATGCGCGGTGCATGTCGTTTGGTCCTGGCTTGCAGGCCCCTTATATACAGGTGCAGGGCTCGGTGCGCAGCTCGACATCCTACAGGACGGAGGCCCAAGTGTAGTTGACATCCATCGCCGCCTCTACACTCAGCTTCCACTTGACCACGCCGCCTGCTGGATCCACGTCCTCCCAGCTCCTCCTCCTCTCCTCCCTGACTTCTCCCACGATTTTCTATGCGAGCGACCCAGTCTCCAACGCGATGTCTTGTACCGGTTCTACACTCGCGCTCTTCCTTCGGGTTCGCGTTTCAACTTTGCCGCAGATCGAGGGATTTGTTCACTCTGCACTGCCGCATCCACAGAGACTATCTCCCACATCTTTTATGAGTGCGGGGTGGCCCCTATAGTGATTTCTGCTCTCTCCTCCGTCGCTCATCATCACCTCCGCTGCTCTCCTCCTCCTGAGCTCCTGCTCTTTCCACTCGCCTCTAGAGCTGGCCAGGTGCCCCCCTGGAGCCTCTTGGTTGGAGCATCTGCAAAAGCCATTTGGAACGCGCGCTATGAACACAAGTTCCAAGACTCAACCTCCTCCCGGTTTGAGATTCTCCAACTCATCCTAGCACAGTTCCTCATTGCGTTCAAAATCTTTCTCTGGCGAAGGAAGAAACTGTCAAATGTTATATATGCCATATATGTTTAGGCTGTAGTGGGGTAGCCAATATGGGGTACAGCCCCTTCTAGGGTTTCATATTTGTACCCAACTCTTTCATAGTTCATTCAGTCCTGTTCATTCTTCTGACATGGTTTCAGAGCAGGTCCTAGCCTAGGACCGATTTCTTAGGGCCCACCGAGTAGCGCTACCCCACTCGTCGCGCCACTGTGATCGCGCTACCTGCTGCAGCGCGCCCTGCTGAGTCGCGCGCCACCTGCAGCAGCGCACTCTGCCCTGCCTGCGCGCCGCGCCGCCGCGCGCCCTGCCCTGCCTGCGCGCCGCGCCGCCGCGCCGCCGCGCGCCCTGCCCTGCCTGCGCGCCGCGCCGCCGCGCGCCCTGCCCTGCCTGCGCGCCGCGCCGCCGCGCGCCCTGCCCTGCCTGCGCGCCGCGCCGCCGCGCGCCCTGCCCTGCCTGGGCGCCGCACCGTCGCGCGCCCCGCCCTGCCTGCGCGCCGCGCCGCCACGCGCCCCGCCCTGCCTGCGCGTCGCACCGCCGCGCGCCCTGCCCTGCCTGCGCGCCGCGCCGCCGCGCGCCCTGCCCTGCCTGCGCGCCGCACCGCCGCGCGCCCTGCCCTGCCTGCGCACCGGCCCGCCGCGCGCCCTGCCCTGCCTGCGCACCGGCCCGCCGCGCGCCCTGCCTTGCCTGCGCACCGGCCCGCCGCGCGCCCTGCCCTGCCTGCGCGCCGCGCCGCCGCGTGCCCTGCCTCGCAGGCCGCGCCCTGCCGAGCCGCCCGCGCCCTGCTGCGCCGCCCGCGCCCTGTTGCGCCGCCCGCGCCCTGTTAAGCCGCCCGCGCCCTGCAGCGCCGCCCGCGCTCTGCAGCGCCGCCCGCACGCCCTGCTGCTTGTCACCGCCTCGCGCTATGGCCACCCTTCGGGTTCTTTCCTTCGACACTGAGGGCCGCCCTGTAGAGTTCGATGACTTGCAGCTCTACCTCATTAGCACCAGCAAAGACGAGATCTCCCTCTTTGACCACACCTCTGGTGCCCTAGCCGCTCCTGCTGACACAGCTGCCCTTAGCGAGCGCTCTCAGTGGCTGACGCGCGATGCTGCTGCCCGCCTAGCTATTCGCAACCACTTGCCGCTAGCGGAACTCAAGCACTTTGGCGAGCACAAAACCGCTAAGGCCCTGTACGACGCTGTAGTCGCTCGCTACTCCTCCCCTGCCACTGCTGCGCTCAGCCGTCTCATGCTGCCATCTCATCCACCCCTAGTACTTCTCCGGAGCTCACCTGCCAGTGGCAACGGATCGCCCCCCACCGTCCGTGATGCGCACACCGTGGGGGTAGCGAGGGGACGACGTGAAGCACTCAGGCAGCCGGGACTGGGCCGGCGGCTCACACACCACTCCCTGGGCCTCCTCCTCGCTCTCGTGCTGCTGGGAACGGCAGCTCACATGCATTACCCTTTCTCCCCTTCCAGAAGCGCCTTCCCCAGGAGCGCCTCCCTCAGAAGCGCCTTCCCCAGGAGCGCCTCCCTCAGACTTGTTCTCTTGAGCGGCAGAGGCGGCCATGTAGAGCAGCAGGCGCATGACGGCGTGGGAGAGGCCGTGCGCTGCCAGCCAGCCGTCCAGCATGCCGTTCTGCACCAGCACCAGGTCGCTATGCCACGCAGCGCGCAGGGGGGACCTGCAGAGAGAAAGGGGGGGGAGAGGAGGGGGGAGGGGGGGGGGGAAGGGGGAGGGGGGGAAAAAGAGGGGAGTTCTGAAACGCCCGAAAGGCCGTCCAGCATGCCGTTCTGCACCAGCACCAGGTCGCTGTGCCGCGCTGCGGGAACCTGGGGGGGGGGAAGAGCGGAGTGGGGGAGGATTTCTGAGGAGAGATTCCTGAGGCGCCCTTAAGGCCGTCCAGCCTGCCGTTCTGCACCAACACCAGGTTGCTGTGCCGCGCTGGGGGGACCTGTGGCGTGGGGGAAATAAGACAGATCTGGGGCGTGCCGTGCACATCTGGAAATAAGACACATCTGGGGCGTGCCGTGCACATCTGGAAATACGACCTGCATCTAAGCGCTGCGCTGGTTCATAGAGCTAGCTAACATAGGCGAGAATGTCCACCAGACCCACACCACTCCACACCCCTGTGAACCGTACCTCACCTCACCCCACATCCCTGCCCTTGAAACCTCTACCCCTTGGAACTTTTACCCCCATGGATGGATCACAGAGAGCGCCCGTACCTGTGCCAGCACATCGTCCCTCTGAACTCACCCCCTCCCCCCCCCCCTCCTCCCCCCTCCCCCCCCCCTCCACCCCCCCTGCCCCCTCCTCCCCCCACCCGGCTAGTGACGTCGTACCTGTGCCAGCAAATCGTCCAGGTGGCAGTTGTGCGTCGAGTCGACGCAAAACCACTCAACCCTCTACCCAATGGCACACACGAGGGACAGTACCTGCGCCAGCACATCGTCCAGGTGGCAGTTGTGCGCCGCCACCACGATTGGCCCCTGCGAATGGCGTGGCGACAGCTGGACGAGGGATGAGAGGGGCATGCCACGTGGCAGAAACAGTGCGCTGGGGGGAAGGACGGGGGAGGAGGGGGGGGGGCGGGGGTGCAGGAAGGGGAATCGGTTAGCGGGAGAAAGAACGTCGCACGAAACGAGTGGAAGATCTGGCACTTGTTGCAAGACACACAGAGAGAACAGAACAGACATAGAGCGGGGCTTCTCATGATGAAGGGGAGCAGGAGATTGAATCGAATGAACAGGGTGAGAGGGAGAGGGGCCGACTGGCAGGCCACCAAGTGTTTGAGTGGAGGCGAGCAGTGCTGGAGGAGAGTGATGTATGAACAGCAGTGGCGAGAGGGGGAGAAGAGCAGTGTAGGAAGGAAGTGCCTTTTGAGGGGCCTCAAAAGTCGTCTCTCTACCCGCAATTTTTATATTGATCGAATTCTTGTTGCTTGGAAGTGTGCACGTAACGTGCAACAGTGCCTGGTTCGCGCGAGGTTACCACCACCCAATTCCAAGACTGCCGAAGACAAACCCGAAGAGTGACTGGACACCTCGGAATTTTCTTTTGTGTCTAGTTGGCGCATTTCTTATCTAGTTACGCGCCCGGGGTAGGATTTCCCTGTGTAGATCTCGAGGCTCGGGTGTTCTTTTAGACCCCTTGCTTGTTCGCTCTTTCACTTTGAACTCTTGCACTGATGAAGGCCTAGCGGATATGATCCCCGTGCAAAGCCGAAACATGTTTGCTTTCGTCTAGAGTTTGAACTGAGTTGTACGTTCAGATCTTAATCAAATTTTCAAGGGTTATTTTTTTTTTCGTTAGTTGACTATCGTCCCTCTGCTAAAGGCGACCTTGCCTACTGCTGCCCTTCTTCATGAGCACAGATCCGTGGGACTTTGAAAAGTTTCTTTCGGAAGAAGAGGCCGGTATGAGGGGACATCACTCTAAGAATCCATCTCACGGAGGGGGTTCGTCTGGCCGCTCGGGTTTTTCTGCTGAGAAGCAGTATCGCGTTGCGGGTTCTACGTTCCCTCCCTTGCCACTGGTCCGCGACGATCGTTTCACTGAGAAGCAACCAGATAATCTTCCCGCTGCTGGCTCGTCAGGTCGTTCGAGCGCGTTTGCGACAGAAGCTGCTGCTGATGTTACTCCAATCCCTGAACCGTTCAAGGGATGGTCGCTGTCTGCAGTAAAAGGCTTTCGGGACGACTACAAGTCATATCTGAAGGCGAAGGCGAAGCTGAAAAAGATGAAGGAGCTCAACGGCAAGGGCGAGATACTTCACAGTATCCGCACGAAGGCGGTGGAGTTCCAGACGAAGTACGCCACCATCAAGGAGAAATCTGCGGAGCTCGTTGCAGCGACGCACCTGGAGAACCAGAAACGTCTCCAAGCGGATTTCATTTCGTCTAAGGAAGCGGAGGTCGAGGAGATTCTAGCAGCGAGCAACTCGCATGTCACGGTTCTTGCAACGAAGCTCGAGGAGTACATACAAAGCCTTTCCGCCGACCCGGAGCTGGTGGTGTCAGACGCCGCCAAGGAGCGATTTCGTCGCTTGAAGGGACGCTGCATCGAAAAGGCTAACTCTGAGATTGCTGCTGCTAAGGATGAGATCGTCACCCGTGAACTGGATCGACAGCGAAAGCAGGCCGCTGAGGACTTGAAGAAAGCCGCTGCCGCGGAGGAACTGAAGGAGATGGATACAGAGTTGTCGATGGAGGAGATCCTGAAGAACCACACTAAGAAGATGGCGGATCAGCTTCGCAGGGAGATCACGGCGAGCGTTGAAGCCAAGCTATCGAAGAAGTTCAAGAAGGAGCTCTCTCTGGGTGAACATGAACCTGCAACGGCCTCCAGTGCGGACTCCAAGGCTAAGAAGGAGAAGGAGAAGAACGATACGCCTTCGAAGCCAAGAAGGAAGCGCGGAGCTAAGAAGCCGAAAACGCAAAACTCCAACGGTGACGACGGGCAGCGGGGGAAAGGCGCCAACAACAACGACAAATCCAGCGCCAAGGGTCCAAAAAACGGCGGAGGCGGCCCCGGAAAAGGGCCGCGCAACAATTTACGAGCCATGATTTGGCTCTCCGCTGGTTCGGTCGCATGACGTATCGGCAGGCGACGTCACGCATACTGAACCAGGGAGTACACAACCTGAGCGCCAGAATCATGTCTCCCGACGAGAAGACGGCGCTTGGGTTGGGTCTGAAGTTCATACCAACGCCCGCCCGATCCCTCTCCTCCGGAGTGGAACTCGATCAGCTACTCCGACAGGTTTCCCTTCATTTTTTCTTCAACGAGTCAGGTGGTTCAGCGGCGAATTCGCGTTTTCGTGTACGGAATCCCGGCTGGGTCCCTGATGTGAATCCAATTCCAGAGCAGGTTTTCAAAGAAACGTTTTCTGACCTTTCTGTCCTGTTGAAAGCTAATAGACCGAGGCGTGTTCGGAACATCTCGTTCGGCGTCGCCCAGGCTCTGCGTTCCATTGCAGCCGACCGCAGCGTGGTGATTAAACCGGCGGATAAGAATTTGGGGGTGACGGTGTTAGACAGGGAGCACTACGTCAGGTTGTGTCTGGATCATCTCGACGACCGGAGCACCTACGAGCCAGTCTTCTCCAATCCCACAGAATCTGTCTGCCAGCAACTGCGCGCACTTCAGGTTACATGGGGCCCTGCTCTTCCAGATAGTCTATGGCGGTACTTTCTACATCAACCTAGCGGGGGATGGAGACCAGCGGCATTTTACATCCTACCAAAGCTGCATAAAAAAACCCTGGCGGGGCGTCCGATCGCTACTTCGCACTCGTGGGTCACTACTAACGTCAGCACTTGGCTGGATGCTGAACTGCGGCCGCTGGTTCTTAAACAACCTTCCTACCTTCATGACTCCCTTTCACTGCTACTTGATCTGGAACGCACTACTCTTCCCCATAATGTGCTTCTGGCGACGTATGATGTCACCGCGCTGTACCCCAGCATTCCACTTCGGCGCGGTCTTGATACGGTCAGCAATTTTTTGCAGAGGGAGAATTCGTGTCAGGCCCTACCGGTCATGGCCCTGCTGGAGTGGGTCATGTTGAATTCCTACGTGGAGTTCAATGGCAACATCTACCGCCAGATTCAGGGGACAGCCATGGGGACTCCCGTGGCTGTCTGCTTTGCGGTACTTTTCATGAGCCGACTGGATGAGGTGCTGAAGCAGAGGTGGACCGGGACGCAGCCGCTTCGACACGTCAGATACATCGACGATGGGTTCATTGTCTGGCCTGGAACCAGAGATGAGCTGGAACGGTACTTCAACACGTTCAATAGCCTCGGCCCGAATATCAAGCTTACGTGGCATGTCTCGGAGCAGTCAGTGGATTTCCTGGACATGGTCCTCTACAAGGGGGACCTGTTCGCTGCCTGCGGTACTTTGGATTTCCGGACCTCCAGAAACCTATGAACCGGTATCTCTACCTCCCTTTTTCGTCGTACCACCCACGTCACTGCAAGGTTGGGTTCATCCAGGCCGAATTGAAGCGGTATCTACTCCGTTCGTCATCAGCCTCGGCCTTCCTCGCAACGAAGCATGATTTCTTCCGCAGGCTTCGTGCACGTGGTTACCCTCCGAATTTCCTTCGCCCCATCTTCGGGAGCGTCTTCTTTCTTCAACGCGGTGATCTTCTCGAGCAGACCTCGGCGCGACACTTACTCAAGCAACAAGATTCAACTTCATCACGCGGGCCCCTAGTTTGAAGACGGTTTTCACACCTGTGACTGCCCGTCTCAAGCTAGGGGTACTTTTGAGGCGCCTCAAAAGTCGTCTCTCTACCCGCAATTTTTATATTGATCGAATTCTTGTTGCTTGGAAGTGTGCACGTAACGTGCAACAGTGCCTGGTTCGCGCGAGGTTACCACCACCCAATTCCAAGACTGCCGAAGACAAACCCGAAGAGTGACTGGACACCTCGGAATTTTCTTTTGTGTCTAGTTGGCGCATTTCTTATCTAGTTACGCGCCCGGTGTAGGATTTCCCTGTGTAGATCTCGAGGCTCGGGTGTTCTTTTAGTCCCCTTGCTTGTTCGCTCTTTCTTTTTGAACTCTTGCACTGATGAAGGCCTAGCGGGTATGTTACCCGTGCAAAGCCGAAACATGTTTGCTTTCGTCTAGAGTTTGAACTGAGTTGTACGTTCAGATCTTAATCAAATTTTCAAGGGTTATTTTTTTTTCCGTTAGTTGACTATCATCCCTCTGCTAAAGGCGACCTTGCCTACTGCTGCCCTTCTTCATGAGCACAGATCCAGGAGAGTGATGTATGAACAGCAGTGGTGAGAGGGGGAGAAGAGCAGTGTAGGAAGGAAGTGCAGGGAGGGGTGAGAGGTGGTGTGAGCGAAGAGGGGAAGTGAGGAAGTGGAGAGGGAGTAACAGCTGGTAAGAATCAATAATCTAGTAAGAATCTATGTATGGATGGCGAGTGAATGGGCTGAAGTGGAGAGGATGAGGAGTGGGAAGAGGAGGGTGTGAGGAGTGAGGAGAGCCAGGGAAATGATGCTGGCAAAGGGGAGAGGAATACACAAAGAGGAAAAAGAGAAGAGAAAGTGGGAGAGCGAGGAAAGGGCATACTGTGTGAAAGCCAGACTGACTGACCTATTAACTAGGTGACTTTTGAGTCGACTCCAAAGTCACTTCATACTGTGTGAAAGCCAGACTCACTGACCTATTAGGTGGAGCCATCTGCATAAAAGCCTGACCTATCCGACCGGCACCAATAATCACCATTGCAACTTCCTCCTCCTCCTCCTCCTCCTCCTCCTCCTCCTCCTCCTCTTCCCCTTCCCCTTCCCCTTCCCCTTCCTCCGCCACAACCCGCTCTGTCTCCTTTGCCCTATCCCCTGCCTTCACTCTCAAAACCTTTCCACTTCTCCCGCTTCTCTCCACCATTCCATCGCAATCTCTTTCACCCCGCCGCCCCTTCCTTGCCCCTCCGCAACCCCCCACCGCCGCCTTCCGCCTTCCCCCTATCTCCCCGCGCCAATGGCTCCGCCGCTCCCCCTTCGAAAACGCGCTTCCGCCGTCACCTTCCCGCCGCACCCTGATCTCACCTGCCCTCTCCCGCGCGCGCGCGCGGACCGAAACTTTTAAATCCACGTCCCCCCATGCAGGCGCAGTGCAGATTTCCGCGATCCGGCTCGGGCCCCTCGCCGCGCCAAGAGCGGCGCGACAGCGGAAGCGTCAGATGCGAGCGAGGCGGACAGACGGCAAGGAGGCGGGGCCGTTAACCGCCGCCGCGGCGGAGAAACGGCAAGCACGCGGGACGGAGAGCGGAGGCGCAGCGGATTGCTGACGGAAAATCGGGAGGCAATGCGGCCGGCAGAAGGCCGCACCGCTGACAGCGCCGCACATGGCGGCCGTCGATGCCTATTCGTCGTACTACCACTAATAGCAACGGCTCAGTTACGAACTCGGTAGTTCTGCTCGGCTCCAAACCACGCGCTACGGGAGCTGCGCAGGTTCTGCTGCGTCTTTTACGCCGCTCGTTACGCCCAAGCGGCGCGCGGCGGAGCTGACCGGGAGGAGCCGGCGCGCGGCAGGTGAGTGGGGCTTGTCGCACTCCCGTTCTTCATGGCGGAGACTGCTCCTCCGTATTCCGCAGCTCCGCTCGTTCCCCACCCCCTTGCGCTTATTCTTCCATGCGATGCGCTCTGCTTTTCACCGTGGCGGCTCGGGACCATTTTTTTTTTCCCGAAATTGATGCACAAACGACTTTCAAGCTTTCATATTCTTCGATCGCCATTGTTTTTCACATATTCCGTTTCTCAATAGTGACGAACATTTATTACGTGTATACTGTACCAATGAACATTCGCCAACGATTTTCGTACCACATCCCGGAAAAGACAAGGGCGAAAAGTGACGGAATTGTGACTTTTCCGCGACTTTTATGTAAACCGAACTCTGGGACAAAAAGGTAATGGTTGGAAGTACCGGGGTCAGAGTCACATAGGAAGTGACGGAAAAGTCACGAAAATATCACATCAAAGTCACAATGACGTCACTTCCAGAGTCACGTAGAAGTTACGGCTACGTCACGTACAGGTGTTCTCGTTTATAGTCCGACGGATCAACATCGCCGCGCGCGGACTATGTGGCAAACCCTTCAAACCCCAGGCAAAACGCGATACTTGTAGTCCCATTCACGAAAATTGCATGAAGAGTGGTTGTTTTGCTACTAGTTTCTGGAGTTTGGCATTTACGTAGATTTGGACCACGCTTGCTTCAACTTCCAGTCACACGGTTTTCCACGCTGATCAATGTCGCATGACTAACGGTCAAAACAAAAGAAAGTCAACTATGGTTTGGGGGTCGAATAGTAACCCAAAAACTTCGTTTCTACCCTGTAAGCGAGATAAATGAGATGTCATCGTCGATCGCGCTGGAGACAGCGCGACAGGATTGAGAAGTAGTCGCGGTCAAGAGAAACGATGAATTACAATAAAAAAAAGTTAAAATGTCGAATCTATGATTCCTTCTTTATCGTTTTCTTTGAATGTTGGGCTGGTTTGATCTGGAGCCTCTGATTGGTTGCGGAGCTGATTCGTGCAATGATTCGGTCAAGCTGCAAAATTTCCCGCCAAAAACGGGACTATAGGGGTCGGGCCAACCCTAGGCGATATCGGAAAATTCTACTCAGGGGGGAAAAGGGACTCTCTCAACGAGGGCCTCTAACCCGGAACACCTGTACAAGTCACCCTAGCGTGACCCCGCGGGATGCCAAGGCGCGCTCCGCCAATTGTCACAATTTGTCGTCCTTTTATATCGACTCGACATCTGGCGTGTATTACGTCATCGTGTCAACCCCCGAGTTACAACACTGTACAGTAGTACGCGCTTCGGAACACGCAACACCCAATCACATGTATGCACGATGGACGACGAGGATCACCTCTGCAACGTATCCTCGCCCTCCGTTTTTAATGCCCGTATCCAATGCCTATGTGCCAGTTGTGACACACGCGTGCTCCTAATTCGTTGAAAGTTGACACGGCATCTGGCTGCCCACCTACGTGTACATGCCAGATGACGTCCACAAATCACCACACGTAGGGCTGCGATTTTACACTTGTTCCATCGGCCCAACCATGCGAATCGAGATCCTACCGTACACTACTGAGTGCATCGCGCCACTGCACCACCGACGCCTGTTAAAACAGCAGGCAGAAATCAGAAACAGGAAAGAGGAGTTTTCACTAGCAGCAGTTGAGATACATATAGCAAACCCTAATTCGGGTTGTACTCGCTATAGAGTACCCCATTGCATGCTACACAAACATCACATTCTGACAACGCCGCCCATCCGAACTTCGCAACGTGTTTACCCGAGATGCCGTGGACTCTGGCCGACGTGTACGGTCTAAACCGTATGCCTCGCTAGGATTTTCACTCCACCTGGCATACATTCTACCGTCCACAAAACCACACATCAACGGCTGAGGTAGCACCGAGGTTCCTCTATCCACGGCTGTAGACGTCTGTGATGCCCGGACCGCTTTCATCATATCACCGCATCCAATGGCTCTACGTTGAGCCGCCAAACTACATCCGGGGTTTAGGGTTGGCCGTTACGCATCCCTAGCATGAGGCGTTCAGCGGTATGGTTCTTTGGGTTATGAATAGGTTGAACAAACATGCCCTCAGTATGTGTACGCGATATATAGGTGACATTTAGTGCGACCATATCGAAAGTGCAGCTTAGATCCCTCTTCAATTACATATTCAATCTACGCACTCAACAAGCATGCTCTTCGCCCATAACTAGACCCCCGCAGTTTAGGCAAAACAGCTCCGAGACTGCGTAATTTCGTGTTATTTAGCTTCGTGGCGGCTGACTAGCGGCTCGGCGAGCCCCTTCTTCACTTATACGTTCGGGGTCCCTCTGCTGGCGCTAGCTTGGGCAGTCTCGGTCCTCCCGACCGCGATGCCGTCTGCAGAGATGCGGACACCATGGCGACCCCATGCCCACGTCTGAGACGCCGCATCGTAATCGGGCCTGAACTCAGCGATGGCTGTGGTAACAGCGATCTTACTGTAACAAGGACGTGGAGGCCGTCAACGATTTGCGCGTTACGTCCGGCGGAGTTGGATAGGCGGCCCTTGCGCGCATCCCAGATCCGGATTGCATCTGTCACCTGCGCACAATATAGCACAACCTCATATGCGTGAGAATCTCATCGGGCGGCACCATACCTTTTAAAGCATATCTGTTACCTTCATACCACGTGCTCTAGCCAGGCCACGTGGTACAGCTTCAGCGTCACTGTCCCGTTCAACCATCCTTGGCTTGAACGCCGCCCGTACGCATGCTGTAAATGCGCCCGACGCGAAGGGAATCCCGTTACGGTCGCAGCTCCAGCGAGAGAGTGCCACCCTCTCTGCATTGCTAGACACACACGTCATGTGCATGCATTAGACTCTATGCGATCTCAATCATTCTCATACAAAGCGTGACAAGTACGGGGGCAATGATCGTACCCGGCGGCACGTCTCCGAGACCGACCCTATCCCGGACCCTCGCTAGTGTGCGCATGGAGAGTGCCGCCCAGGGGCTTTTCGCGTCCCGCTCGTCGCGGAATAGCCCTATCTTGGGGAGCGAGATGTTGTGGACCCGCCCAGCCGCACCCGTTTTCCAGTCGCTGAGAGACCGTTTGAAGTCGACCCTACGTGCCTTGCATGCCGCGAGTGCAAGACTTGCGTAGTTGACAATGAGGTTATCAACGACTGCGCATTGTCAGAGGTCCACTGGTGATCCCCGATTGATCCTAGGGAAGGGTTACAGGCATGTTGGCCTGGGGGGTTATGGGCGCACTGACCCGCTACTTAACAAGCCCTTTTATCCCAGTGGTCTAGTGGCTGGGATTCTGACATGCATATGCCCCAGGTCTTGGCGGCGCTGCTAGGGTAGAACGTCAGATGCTTGTTGGGACGTCGGATGAAAAGTTGGACGTGAGCCTGCTCACATATTTCCTGCACGCACGGAAGAGGCGACACGTCATCAACCCGCCCCCTCGCTCCACAAAGTGCACAGGCGCAATGTAAACACATTAGGCGAGCATCGGGTGCAGCATACCTTCCAAGGCTTGTCGGCAGGCAGGAGACTAAGAGCCTCTTGCAGAATCGCTGAAGTTGACGATCGAACGTGACCCTCCAGTCCTTCATCAACCTCTTCCTCATCCTCGGACGTCGTCTCCAACGTCGACCGTGAACGGCGCGCCTTGCGTCGCTTTCCCTTGCCCAATGCGCGGTTCCGACGCCTCCGTCTCGGTGGTTCGCCGTCACCAGCAGGCTTTGCAAGAAACGCAGACTCCAGCCTTGCAATTGCACGTACAGTAGCTTCCTGCAGCTCGCGCAAACTAGTCATCTCCTCCCGCGTCACCGGAGTTTCCTCAGCCTCACGTTCCGCGCCAGCGTCCTCCTCATCGTCGCTGGCTTCCGCAGCGTCCTCGGCATCCGCAGCATCTTCGTCGTGGCTCTGCACGGGGTTGAGCCTCTGGAGGGCCTCATTGGGATCATCACCCGAGGGTTCAGGTGTCGGAGTTTCGGGTTCGCAATCCACTGGCGCGGACTCATGGAGGACTTCATTGACGCCCTTGCGTTTGCGCCGGCGGCGCGACGACTTGCCTTCCACAGCATCCGCCTCGTCCTGCCGGCTGGACCGTGCGGTTGACGAGCTACCCTCGGACGTGCTGCCATGCGACATACGCGAGTCTCCGCCCCCATGGGAGGGAGTCACATCTGCATCATGTAAATGTGACGACGCACAGATTAGTACCGAGTTATATGTCACAAACATTACAGCGACTACAGCAAAATAATGGTATGTTATACCACCCCGTAAAGCACGTTGACTTACCCGGGGGAGATGGAAGCGGCCGTTGTATCTGCGGCGCATTGACGTTCTTCGGAAGGGACAGGCGAGCTTTCTTCGTCACTTGACGCCTAACTGAGCCAGGCAGAAGGTAAGAGTTCCTCAGGTAAGCTGGAGGCTGGGACACGCGCTGACTCCTACCCTCACGGGACGAGACGGGTCCAGCGGTAAAACTGTCCATTGACGCAAACCGTGTGGACAGGAATGAGTCCATCGGTCACTTTGGGCTGTACTTACACAGTGAGTGACCCATCCTGACCTAGGCACAGGCGACCAAGGCCTTCCACGTGGCTCGCCCCTGGCTGCCAGACTAGTTTCGTCATTCGCCGGGTTTGTACACATGGCACTCGATGTACCCAACATTATCCACATCACTCCATACAGTGTCGAGGCCGTGCTTCTTTAACATGCAAACATCAGTACACTTTACAACTGTCTTAGTGCACAACACAACTTCACGTGTGGGTATACTACACAAAACCATAGGCAAAGCAGTACATGTATTGCTCTTATGTACACACATACTCTATGGCCCTATTCATGATCTGGCACAGAAGGGTAATACAACAACGATCCTGTCATACATGAGATCATACAGAAGTTCATGCGTACTTCTGCTCAGAGCAAGTGTAGACAAAAGACTCTCCTACGCCAGTTCTGGCTCCTGCATCTCCTCGTCAACGGCTTCCTCTATCTGTGTCAGCGGGTACTCCCCTTCGTCATCAACGTTGCTGTTAGCAGGCGAGCGGGAACCTCCATTTTCGAGAGGGAAGGGCGTACCAGGTGGAATGCCCACTTCTGCCATAGCTGTCCTCCACCGGCGCCACCTCCACCACATGCGGACCTTCACAAGGTGCCTAACATCCGACCTGACACACCCATCCAGAGCTGCCATCTCTGCCTCAGTCAGCACCTTCATGTGCTGGATGTGATCTTTGCGCCGGATCACGTACGCAGCCGCAGCATAGGCATATGCCGCATCGTCCTCCACGTTGTACGCACCAAGCCTGATCTGTTGTCCCGTACTGCGCCCGCACACCATCTTCACCCCCCACTTCGGCCACGTGGACACCAACTCACCACAGTCCACCGGCTTGAAGCCGGACGATTGCCGTACACGGAATGCATACCGATCTGGCGCACAGTGCGTGATTCCACCCTTCGTCCCAGTCGACTGCTGGCCCTTCGAGTCCGACCAAGACTACCTGGTGCTTCGGGTGTCACTGGAGCCGTGGGATTCTCAAGTTCCTCCTTCGTGGGCACTGCTTCAGGTGGTGACCCGGGCCTTTGACCAGAAGAGGTAACATCGTCATTACCTCCAGCTGACGATGGCACTGGCAGCGGGCATGGTGTTGCATGGATGGAGCTGGCGAGCATCTTCATCGATGCCGCGTGATCCACCCTGTTCTTTAACACAGAGGACGTCAGTAGAGGAGTCCCATGGGTCTGGAGCTCATGTGCTGCACCGCTTAGCAGCTGCTCATCCGATATCCCACACGCACGTGCCAGGCTTGTCACTGCCGCACACACCACGTAAGCCCCAAGCTCCACCCGGGTTATCATGCCGGACTGCCTTGCCAGGTCGGTCCGGACTTCATCTTCCTTCGGAAACACCAGGGCACCAAACTCACCCAACTGGGGGAGTGGCTGCGACGGAACCTCTACGCCCTCTCCGAAAAGCCTGATGATAACGTCGCCCGTGGAGTGTAGCGACACCTCCTCCCGTAACTGCCGCCGGTAGGTGTGCGATTTCTTACCGTAGAACGTCATCCACTGCTTGATGATGTTGAAGCCGCATGACACCAGTGCGTGGAGATACATGCACAAGTAGATCACACAGTCGAAAGAGTTCGACTGGGTCGGGATTTCATCAGGCTGCCAAGGGGAGCAAACCAGACGCACAGGCTGGATGGTCAGCCCAAGAATCGCACTCCAGAAGGCAAACGCAGGAACAACATGGCCGATGTACTTACTTGCATGATCGTGATTTCGGCACAGTCCAGGCTGTTCTTGGCCTGCTTCCGGTCAGCAGTCGGCAATTGAGCGGCGTGAAGCAAAAGCAATATCCTGCATGGACCGTTGACGGTCAGGATGTTAGAACAGTTAGTACTATAACAAGCTGATGAACAGTCAAGAACGCGCTCATGTCTCACTTCTTGACGCCTTCCATCACTTCCGGTTTCTTGGTGTGCAACGACGCGCTATCGTAATGCACCAGCTCAACGTTGTCCTCAACAGTTTCTGAGAGCTTGCCGCTGACCATGCCGCCAAGGTTCATGGCGATCACAAGGGAGTAGTGGCCCCTGCAGTGTAATAGAAACGGACGTTGTATGAGGCACGCATCAGAATTAGTTTAGAAGACGGTCACAACCATAATATTTCTGCCACTGTACTCCAACCAATACATACTCGTAATAGACGGGGATGGCCAAGTAGTCCTGCGCGAATATACATGGTGCATGCCCAAGCGGCCACGCCTTGTTCAGTGACGTCGCGTAGACGAAAGCCTTCGTATCGAGAGCGAACCATGTCTTCCCCCCCTCGAGCTTCGGATGACGAATGTTTAAAAGGCTGAAACACAAAACACTCGTTGACTCGCGTAAGCAATGACAGGCAATTCCAGTTAGTAACCATGGAGTCGTACAAATCTTCAAAAACTCACATGTTGTGGAAGTCTACAACGCTGTCCGCCAGACACTCTCCGTCCGCGAGTGTGAGAACGTCTTGGGCAACCAGCTGACATCCCACTCCATGGGGACCGTACAACGCCAAGGTCTAGAAATCGCGCTGATAGATGGGGTTCCTCAGGCGAGACACGACATCATCCGGCGGCGGTGGTGTTGGCGTTCCCGCCCCCTGCACGTCGCTGGCCGCCGATGGTACCCTTCGACCAGCACGGGGCGAAGCACGGCGCTCAGCGGGGGGCTCGTTCTTGACTGTGCCATGACGGCGCACAGACTCCGACTTCACATGCGTCACGCAACTGGCGGCGCCGGAAGTGTTACCTCTCTGCACCAGCATACGCTGTAGGTTCATCGTGTGCACTTGCAGGCTACGTCGCTAGCCTAAAGGACTTCCGCTGCTAAGATGCGGATAGATCTGACGCGGAAACCACAAATGGCTGCCTAAAGGACTAACTGAACAAAATACTAGACAATGGAGCGCGCGCAGACGGTTGCGTCTGTGTGTTGACTGGAACAAGGAAAGACGTACACGGCAACCAGTCAGTGGCACAGCGTGCCAAATACAGCTCCTTCGTTTTGGCGCGGAACACCAGCTCAGCGCGGGCGTCACACGTGTCATGCTTTGATAGCCCTCGTCATCTGCTCATTGTAGACGAGGGTGTGGTGATGCATGTGGATTCACAGTCTCACTGCATGCGGTGTGAAGTGACGTACGCGGTACAGCGCATGATGAACACGAAATATTGTGCATTGGCATACATTCGGATGCATGCCATCATATGAAAATGGTGTGGCTGAGAGCGGTATAATGGGTCCGGGGTCCACGTGTGACCACCAAACCCTATCCTCAAATTCTCGTCTTACACAATCTCGTTGTAATGTTTTAATATGCTACTCACAGTGCCTTACGAGATGTTTCCGAATAACACTTTCGCGTGATCCTTGTCAATCGTCCGAGCACAGCATGCACAAAGCTTTAACACACTCCCGTACATAATTTTCCGCACAATTTTGGTAGCACGATTAATAGTTGGGGATCAATGCGTGCGCATCCTTCCACTGCTTGTCAAGCACCAGGCGACCACGGGGTTCTTATATGACAGTCGCAGCTGACTGTCGGGGACGCTTAGTAGGAGTAAGGCGAAGACGACTAACCACTTCTGCGTTCGACACACCAAACCGTTCAGGAGCGTCGCGCACTTGTATGCCGATAGAGAGGGCCTGACGGACAAGTAATTTGGAGACAATGCGTGCCACGCGTCTGCGACAACGGTAGTCACTGATTAGCGGGCCAGGCTGAGTGGTCAGCGTTATTGTCAAACTTATAAGCTATAGTCTATCCAGGCTGTAGTGGGTTAGACACTAAGGGGTATAGTTTCCTAGGGTTTCATATTTGTACCCTTCACATTTCTTAGTCATTTCATTCCTCATTCTTTCACATGGTATAGAGCAGGTTCCCTAGTGGGAACGTTTCCTAGGGCCCACCACTGAAAATCGAATATATATATATTTTTATACCTGCCCGGAGCGCGCTTCGCCCCCGCCCTAGTCGCGCCCCGTGTGCCGCCCTCCCGTTGCGTCCCCTGCCCTTAGCGGCCCGTCGCGCCCTCTTAAGGCCCCGTAGGGGCCCCCTCTCACGGCCCTTAGCGACCCCTTCGCGGCCCCTCTCACGGCCCTTCGAGGCCCCTCGAGGCCCCTCGCGGCCCCTCGCGGCCCCTTCGCGGCCCCTTCGTGGCCCCGTCGACGCCCTTCACGGCCCCTCGCGGCCCCTTCGCGGCCCTGTCGCCGCCCTTCGCGCCCCCTCGCGGCCCCTCCCGGCCCCTCGCGGCCCCTCCCGGCCCCTCGCGGCCCCTTCGCGGCCCCTTCACGGCCCCTTGCGGCCCCTTCGCGGCCCCTCCGCGGCCCCTCGCGGCCCCTTCGCGGCCCCTTCACGGCCCCTTGCGGCCCCTTCCTGGCCCTTCGCGGCCCCCTCTCGGCCCCTTCGCGGCCCCAAGCGGCCCCTTCTCGGCCCCGTCGCCGCCCTTCGCGGCCCCTTCACGGCCCCTTCCCGGCTCTTCACGGCCCTGCCGCAGCCGCCGTCGCCGCCGCAGACAGCAGCAGCAGCCGCCGCCGCTGCCGTGACAGCCGCCGCCGCTGCCGAGGCCGCAGCCGCCGTCGCCACCTACAGCAGCAGCCGCCGCCGGCACCGCCGTGACAACCACCGCCGCCGCTGCCGGGGCCGCAGCCGCCGCCGCCGCCGTCGACAGCAGCCGCCGCCGCCGCCGCTGCCGAGGCCGCAGCCGCCGCCGCCGCCGCCGACGGCAGACGCCGCCGCCGCCGCCGCCATCCCGGCCCTGCCCTGCAGCTGGGGAGCGGCCCTCCTCTGCCGCCCTGTCGCGGCCCTGTCCCTGCCGGCGCGCCTCGGCCAAGAGCACCGCCGGGCCGCGCCCCTGCTACTACTGCTGCTAGCCTACTGCTACTGCTGCTAGCCTACTGCTGCTGCTGTCATGGCTACCCCTAGTGTTCTCACCTTTGATGCTGAGGGTCGGGCTGTCGACTTTGAGGTCTGGGTCGATGATCTGCAGCTTTTCCTACAGTGCGATAGGAAAGACGGTCTCTCACTGTTCGATCTCACGGCTGGTGCCTCTGCTGCCCCTACTGCCTGTTATAGTCACAATAGGCTTGAATGTGCCTAAAACGAAAGATAGAGAGCACAGACGGATTTCTGCACAGCGGCTTCAAACGTTGATAGCGTTCTGCTCACAGCTGCAAATGACTTGATTCAAATTGGATCTGGAGCGTCTTCACGTCGTCTACAATTAGCAATTTAGATTGCACGATTTGATAAAGAATTGACGACACAGCGTCGGTTTGAACGAACGGTACTATGGCAGCCACTATAGTCTTAGAACACAAGATAGGAAGAGTTACGAGTTGGGAATGACTCCCAGCTCCTACAAACCCCAAGAGCCGAGGTACAGTGATGTGGAACAGTGCCACACTGTCCCCAACCACGAAGGGTCTCGAAACTACCCTTCACTAGGGCCTACACCAAGTGAAATGTTACACTACACAAAGTAATGTAACTATCTTCAATATCTTGAGGTGTACCCTTTTGGCAAGCTTCGAAATCACTTGAGGCTTGACACCAAGGCTCGGGCTCTTCATCACAAACTCATCCTTGAGTTCTTGATGGGTCTGCTGCACACACCTGCGACACGCCGAACGTTCGACACAGGACAAAATAGAAACCGCGCACGACAAAATAGAAACCGCGCGCGAGACACAAACGACCGCGTAACACGCGTCTAGCGATAACTCGCTATTGACTCGACACACACACTCGACATCATGACTCAACATTCACACACACTTATAAGCATGAAATATATATTATCCCATGCCCTCATACCATTCCATACACACACACATTCACGCACACGGACAACAAGCCGAGTGCAAACCGTAGGGTTGCACCAACAAACTCCCCCTCGGATTGTTGGCCTTAGGATATGTTGCTCTCTCAGTTCAGAGCCATCCCAGCCAGCTTGCAACACTTCCAATGCTGCTGCTCCACCAGCCTCTTGGTCATCATGTCAGCCGGCTGCCCCATGGTCTTCACGTAGCGCAACTCAACTTCACCCGCGGTTACCATGCTCCTCGTCCAATGCCACTTCACCCTCATGTGCTTCGTGAGTCCATGCAACACAGGGTTCTTAGCAAGAGCAATGGCATCCTGGCTCTCACAGTACAGTGGGGTAGGTCCTTGCTGCTCCTCCCCCAATTCAGCCAACAAACGCCGCTGCCACACAATCTCCCGTACGGCACGGAAGAGTGCCATGTACTCGGACTCCACCGAGCTCAAAGCTTGGTCAACCTGCTTCTTGCTCTCCCAAGCAGTTGGGCCTCCACCAACACAGCATATGAAGCCTCCCACACTTGTCATGTCCTCTGGTTCTGATGCATATGAAGCATCCGAGTAGGCGGTGAGGAACAAACGCCCGGGTTCAACACCATCCGCGCCCTTTTGGCGCCTTTGTGCCGCCGCCGAGTATTGCAGCCCAACGGTCAGTGTTTGGCCAAGATACTTGGCCACCCTCATTCCAG